AAAAGCCTATAAGCTGAATAGCAAAAACTCAGCCACACGTACCTTTTTACCCATGCCCACATGCTGGGCCCCTTGGCCAGGAAACAGAACAACCACTTGCTCTTCAATGGGTATATGACTGAAGTCCAGTTTTTTCCGCCTATCGTCAACATTTTTGTCATTCCGTTCCTTCGCTTTCAGCACTTCGTTTTTGATCAAAAATCGTTGCAGCTCCTGCAATGCCATTAACACACATGCTTTTTACACATGTTTTTTATTCCGAGTGCATTTTGTAGCGAACGACCGCCCTTGTCCTATCCCAACATGTAAATGAATTCATTTACTTGTTTGGATTTTTGAATGACCGCTCTAGCATCATTTCTACTTCCCAGCGAACTGGAAATTTGCATTTTTTCGAAGAGCGAGCATTTACCAAAGAGACGATCGGGTTTTACGCAAAAACCGATAATCATACACCTGGAGGTCCACACTCTCCTGTAATGCAACGCCTTCATCCCAACCGACGCCCTTTCTGCGGCATGCCGGAAGAGGCCAGAGAGCGGCCAATATGAGCCCAAGTGCAAGGCTACAGTGCCAGAATCATTCCTGCTATTAGCGATCTGCGAGTTTTGTGCAAACACACATGATCGCATCGGCAAGCCTGACAAGTTCCAGCCTGGGTTTACTGTCAGGAAGGCGCAAAAAGGTATAGAAGAAATGTGAGCGTTTAAGTTTAACAACGAACTGGAACATGACCAGTTTCTGCACAACGAACTTTAACGTGACCAGTGACCACCGACCTCTGGCCCCATAAACCAACCAACAGTAAAGTTTTTTGGGCTATTTAAGAAAAGGATATTTAATGATTATTCAAGTCATAATTCTGAAGTAAACCGCAACAAATATAGAAAATTCTCGCACCGGAGAAGGAGTATCTTTACTGTGTAGCAGTGAGTGGTTGCGGTTTTTCTAGACCGAAAGTGGGCAGCTCACTTTCACGGTTAGACGTTATCTTCCACTGGTCAGAAACACTGTTCTTTGTCAGTCCGTATTCGAAATCGTTAAAAAAGGTCGAAAGGAGGAAGTTTATGCCTAACAAATTGCTTTCATTGGTGTCATAAAAAGACAGTCGGCCAACGCACCGACTGCCGGTGCGAAGATGCGTTTTTGCATAGTCCCCTGCAGGTTTTTGTTACTAACGGCACCAGTTTTTCCGGCAGATGCTTCTAGCTAAAAGAACTGAGACTGACCAATACGACTGTCAGAAAACAGCCCCTTAAAATTCTAGGTTTCTGGCTTTTTAAGTTCCTGAGTTAGCAATTTACCCAACAAAAATTCACCGGCCCCTACACGGGAACCAAACACTACTGAAGGCTGGGTTTTAACTCACTAAGTCCCATGTAGACGGGAACATCTCATTAAAGTTCTAACTTTCTAACTTTTCAAGTTTTCCGGTTAGTAAGTTACCCGAAAAAAACTTCCACGAGCCCGTACGTGGAAACCACGTGGCAAGAGTGTCCATTTTGGGGGTAGGGGACCGTACAAGCATGTAGATTAAGTTCCCAAAGTTTCAGCCTTGTAGCTTTTGTATGTTTCGAGATGAAAAATCGGTACAGACGCAAATACAGACACACACACACACACACACACACACAAACCCTAGATAATATGCGATTTTGCACTGCATAGATGTAAAAAAAAAACGCGTAAAAAAGCACCTCACGCTATTACCTTTTCTGGATATGGAAGCGAAGTGCAA